AGCCCTCGGCTAGCCTGAGACAGCATCTCCACGCTCTAAGTCCTCCTCTGATGCCCTGCCGGCGCTGCTTCCGGCCATCCTTAAGCCCTGTTCAGGGTCCACTCAATGTGGACTTGGTAGTTCGAATTAGCAAAACGCTAATTCAAACTAGTTTTTAGTTCTAGACGCGTTAGTTCGAATTAACTTTGTAATGTAGACATACCCTAAGAGCATCAGGGAAGATATAGTCATACCAGGCAGTATGTACGGCCCAAAAAGGGTAATGAAACATCAGGGTCCCAAACTACAACTTCCATGGGGCATTGTACTACTATGAGACAGTGCTGTTTAATGTCAGACTGACAAAGTGAAGCATTTCAGGTCAGTTCCATAAACCAAACCAAAATAACATTTCAACTTAAGGACCAGTGAAATGTTTTATTTTGATAACAAAAATGCTGAAACAAAACATTTTGCTGCTTCCAGTTTTAAAAAAGTCTTGAATTTCTGCAAAAATTGTGAAATTTGAATTTCTTGTCCCCATTTGGGGTAACACTGCTGGAACAGGCCAAAATTCCAAATTCTGTTCAGTTTTAGTTTCAGAAAAGATATATATGCTCCTTGTTTTCCTTTTTGTGTTGGCATACTTCGAACGATATAAGCCCAAACATTGGCTCTGTAGGTATTGTTGAGGACTCCACTTTTTACATATACACAGCGACTTTTTATAGGTTTCTTAAGGCTGTTACTAGCAATGTAAATATATTTGGAGCTTTGATGACTAGATTGATGAAGTACTGATTTAGATAACCAGCTGCATAGTCACTGCAATCTTCTAAATCACCCTCTGGTGCAAGAGAGCATTTTGTGTTGTATATTTATAGGTGTATTTGGTTGTCTGAGATTCATTATTCAGAACAATATAATTCTCTGCTGTAACCACATCACACAGAGTGTAATAAATAATTATTCCACTAATACCTCTGCATAAGGGATAACAGTTCCAGAGCTTCTGCCACTATTACAATGAACATAGGCTGTGTCTAGACTGCAGGGTTTTTTTGAAAAAAGTAGTTCGAATTAGGGTTGTAGTGTAGACATACCCAGAGTCAGTTGACCTGGGGTTTGAGACTCTCTGCCACAAGTCTTTTTTATTGCATAAATGTACTCAGAAAACAACCCCACCCATTGTGGCCTACCTGGCTTTTATTTCTCACTCTACTTAGCTGTGCCAATTGTGCTTCTTGGCCCAGTTTATATGGCTCAGACCTCAGGGCCTCCTAGATCATTTGCAGGCTATAGCAATCAGTCTGTCCCTGAAAGGAGTACTATGCTGTTCCCTATACACTTTCACAAGGGATAATGCTTACCTACTTCACATATTATATAACTTAATTGTTTGTAAAATTCTTTGTAATTCATAGAGGAGCCATGGCTCTATCAGGTCCAAACACAACTGTAAGCTCCACAATGCATTTTACATCATAAAGTATCAGTCACAATTACATTGAGGTTCAGATACAAAGTGTACTAAAAAGGAACATAGAAATTGCCTTGTTGGGTCAGACCAACAACCTTATTAGTCTCCAACAGCAGCCCATACTAGATACCTGTTGATTGATCTGGTCCTGATAAAGGTCTCAATCTAGTCTCTAATAAAAACATGAGATGTTTATCCTTTCAACATTATATATATATATATACACACATTTTTATAACTCTGGATATTTGTGTAACCCATATAATGACTCTTTGCATCTTACTACTTACTAATAAAGTGTGAAAACAGTGACTAATTAATTTATATTTTCTTACTTTTTCAGCAACCTTGATACAGAAGAACTCTGTGGTAAGTTCCCTTTTCAAAGACGAGCGTGCAACAAGGTTGCAATAAGTTTATTGCAAATGAACACGTGAATTTAGCTCATTTTTCTCTTTGATAACCCTGAATAAGTATATATGTGAGCCTATTGCCCTTAAAATCTGAAGTAACCACATGCTCACTTCAGATATTTTTACAGCTTTGCCTTATTTTTATTTCTCTTTCCTCAAAATAAAATGTATCTTCACCTTCAGGATATTAAATCACACTACATTTCACTTATTTCTGTGAACAATGAGGCAAATAATTGAATTCAGGCTCTAAGCAATATCAATCTGTTAGTAACTTTTCCTTAGTCTTATGCACTAGTGACTTCACTGACTTGTTTCCTTCTAATCTAAAAAGTTTCACAGAGTATGCCTACACTGCAAGCAGAGATGTGTTTGCAACATGGACATACTAAAGCTATATTTCATCTAGCTAGTTCAGGTACTATGCCAACAGCAGCAAAGTTGTGGCAGCACCAGCTGTACCAACCCACCCAAGACCTTAGATACTTACCTGACAACTAGGCCACACTTAAATCCATGGTGCTATGGCTTCACTGCTATTGATACCAGAGTGAGCTATCTTAAAGCTGATTCAGGTGTGTCTACATGTGCTGCAGTCACACCAGTGACTGCAGTGGAGACATAACCACACCATAATATTTATTATTTCTTATACTTCATGAGGCTCTTGTGTAATCTTGCTTGGACATTTGTTGTGGTCCTTTTACATTTTTTCATTCTTATCCTAAAGATTCTAGATTCTTAATCACTGCCTAAATATTCAGTGAAGATGGTAGATATCTAGGCTTACATTCAAACCACACTTTTGTTTTCAAGTCTCAAACCTCATGGGTACACACTTATTGGGTTGTTTGGGTTTTTTTAATCTTCCTCCTCTGTCACATGTATCAGTGAGATAATAGAGTGTATATTGACTGACTTAAGTGGATTTATTACAGTACAAGTGGGGTCAGAATCAAGCTCTTCATAACCTCTGTTTTACAATACTCTCTCTTTGTAACAGTATTCTTGGGAGCAAAGTATTCTGGCTGATATGCCAAGATATAAAGTGGGTAGCAATCATAAAATATCATATAGCTGACAAATTGTAAAAGAAAGACTGAACAAGGGTGAAAAATCGTACCCCCATACTGTCAGTTGAGGTCTACTATATAGTATACTGAGAGTCAAAGATATTGCTATCATTATTCATCTAATTTATCCATCTCTGCTTATTCTCTGAGGGCACAACTATATTGCAAGGCAAACGTCAAATTAAGATACGTAACTTCAATTGTGTAGCTGAAGTCAAAATAGCGTAATTCACCTTTTGGCGCTGTCTACACAGCAGGAAATGGAAGGACAAATACTCTTCCTTCGACTTCCCTTAATCCTCCTGGAGTCGGAGAAAGAAGTCCTCCATCTCCAAATTATTATGAAATAATGCTTGCTGTGTAGATGCTGCACTTTATTTCAAAATAACATCAGTTATTCCGAAATAAAGCTGTGTAGACATACCCCAAATGACCCCACTCCCTGAATTCATACTGACCATATACTGTACCATTCCTTTCCACCATCCCCAGAATGTTATTTAATATCTACTGAATACCACATCTTTGTTTACAGATTTATGCTTACAATTGTGTGTCTTCTAACACAGGGGTTCTCAAACTCGGGGCTGACACTTCTCAGGAGTCTTGAGATTATTGTGTAGAGGTTAGAGGCTGTCAGAGTAGACACCCAAATCCTATTTTGTCTCCAACAGTTATGACAGTGTTACATATTAAAAAGTATTTGTAATTTATAAAGGAGGGGATGCTGCAATCAGAGGCTTGCTGTGTGTCAGGGATCAGCAATACAAACATTTGAGAACCACTGTTCTAACAGATTCTCTGTATTAGTCTAATCTTTTTATATTGTCTTTCTAATTCTACCCACAGCATGATTTTCTATAACCATGTATCCCTAATACTCTGTATTTATTTCTTTTTATGAGCTTTTTACATTTATGTATAAGCAGCTTTGAAAATCTGCTGACATTTTGTCAGCTATATTTTCCTTCATAACTCCAATAACCCCAGTGTAAAAATCTGCTATTGATAAAATAAAATTCCATTAAAAGTGCATACTTTCCTTTTATCCTTCAACCTATTTACACAGAAAATATGTCAAAGCAAAAAGCATAGCTCTTTTTACTTAAATTTTCTTGTTAATTTAAATAGCAGGTTCATCAACAGATGTATGCTCTGCAGCCATATTGAGTCTTTGTTCATACGAAGCTCTATATGAATCACTATTATCTCAAAAATTACAACAGTTGAAGAATAAAGGCTTAACTGATCAACTCATTTAGGAATGTCTCTCTCTCCAAAAGCTATACATTGTTGAGATACAGGTGGACTCATTCTGATTTCATGCTGATGTCATTATAATTACTTTAATGGAATGGCGCCTGATTTATAATAGTACTGTATAAGTAACACCAGATTCAGGGACAATATATTTAACTTGAGATGCCCAGCCATTTTGTACTTTTGTGAAAATATACCTTCTTCAAGGACTGCATAGGAGAGCTTGTTGATAAATGAAAAAAAAACTAGATTAGCAAAAAAT